ATCCAAGTGGGACATTTCCATAACATCCAAATATTTTATTTCACTAATTTCAAGCCACGTTGCTCTGATCAGGTCCAACGTGTCATTCCAATGATATAGGCCATTAAATAGAAGATCAGCATCAAGTACAATGAAAGCTGAACTCAACTAAAATGAGAAATTAAAAAAAAAAAACATTTTGAATTTGAATTGTTAAGAAAATGTCCAGCCAAAATTTTGTTGAAATTGGCACATCCCCTGAAATATTCTGATCACAATGCAACCGCGTTTTCTGATTTACAAAAAAAACAAAGCCCCTGTCTTGTCAAAATATTTTTGACCAGATCAAGTATGTCTTGTCTCTATTTGGAGTTTGCCGCGTACAGGTAGATATAGCAGAGTTTGTCGGTGTATCCTCCTAGCAGAGATACCGACACCTTCCAGGAACTCTTGTGCTGGAATCATTTAAATCATTTTATATAATGGAATAAGCTACACCAGCAGAAAATCTTTTTGCTAGTACAACTGTGTCAATAGTCTGGCTTTTGCCAGCATAGCTGTCTGGGTCAGCTGTGTGATATTTTTCATGCTCTTAATCCATGCAGCTCTGCCAGTAAAACTTTTGTAGAGTGGACCAGACCTTAGGTTGGAATCAATTGTGCAGCATTTCTTCTAGAGACTGTTACTCACAAATGCTCCAAGATAAGAAAGTTTCTCTATTTTTCATTCAGATCCTCCAAGAGTTTTGTGCTGCAAGGATCCTTTCTCCCAACAAATCAAATCCTGTTGTTGCCCTGTTAGGACATCACCGTTTGTTGCCAAGACAAAAACAGACAGAGACTGTAAAAAAAAAACCACACACAAAACCCAGCACCGAAGGATAAATTTAGGCTGCTTTTCCTCCTTCCAGATCCACTTCAACATCAACTTTTAGATTTTCTTCTTATTCTGCTTCTAGTATCAAACCCAGGTTTTTAAGAGCCGTGCGTCTACCAGAATGTGGCCCATCAAGCTTCTCAGGCAACTAAGATCACATAATACTTTAATATTAGAATAAAAGCCCTTTCTGGAGCTGGGGAGATGAGTATAGGCGACCAGATGGGTGAAGAGTTGGGGGCATTTGCTCAGTACATGGTATCTCAGCACACTGAGAAACAACTCAGCTGTCAGTGCATGTTTCAGTGTCTGAGTGGGGCAGGGCTTGGAGGACAGAAATACCAAACTAAACCCCAGATACCAAAACGAGGGCCAAATTTATTTCTGATGCAACTCCAGATTAATTTGGCTCAGGGTCCCCGAGTTCTCTGACATCCTACAAGAAGAAAATCAGCCATTGATTGGGAAACAGACTGCATTTGTATGCCCAGCCGTCCATCCAGGTCAACGCACGGACAACGTCTTGAGCAAAGACACACAGTCCGCTAACCGCTCGGTCTTGGACTTGAGCTCCCAGAGCTGCCTCCTACCAGAAGCAATGGGCAGTTGCTTCTGTGTTCGCAGGGGCAGTCCCTCCTTCATCTCTTGCACTCTTTACAACTAGAGGTCAGCCTGAACAAGAACCCAGACCCAGGCACCCTAGAAATATAGGGATTGATGGTCTGGGTGAAGCAATCTTGAGACCACCTGGGACCCAAGGATGGGGTTTGCAGAACCTCTCAGCATTGCTATCCCCACTGATGTCGCTGGTAGGAGTTTTACTACTGACTTCATGGATCACAACACAGCATTGAAAATGCCGCCCCCCCCCCAAATAGAGCAACTGGGAACTCCTTTGGAGAAGATGAAAAGATGTCGGATAACCACAGGGGTGTTTGGATCAAGTCTTAACATATGTTATGCAGGCATAGATCCAGCTACCAGGACGGCCTGTCTCCCACAAAACACAGACGCTCACAGCGACATGTCACCAACATGACTGTCACTCTCCCACAAAACACATGCAGAAAAACATGGGATTGCCCTGGTTTTAGATTACAGGAAGGAAAACCTGATCTACATGTTTTTCTCCTAAGTTCAGATGCAGGGAACAAGAACTGCCCTTTGCAAAGCAGGAAGCACTGAAAGCTGCCAGGAAGCCTTGGCATCTCCTTAAATACATCCAGCCATGACGCTGGGTGACAATTTACACCCTCCACTAACGTCAGCATAATATTATAGCGCGTGCTTGTCATTCTTAAAGAGCATTTTGTAGCCAGCCAATTTTATAGTCCTCTAATTTCACTGAGTGGCAATATAAATGCAGGAGCCAGTAAATAACTTCAGGTTATGGGCAGCTTGGTGTTGCTGCGTATGCACGCGCACGTGTGTTTTTTCTCTCCTCTCCCCTCCTCACGGATATTTCCTTGGACCTCAGCCAGTATGAGAACACTCTCACCAACTGCTCCAGACATACCATTAGCTGCAATATATATCCAGCCACTTGAGATTACTTCCATGCTAATGGCTCAGAAAAAGACTTTCCAAGAGCTACTTATGAGCGCGCCAGACAATTGAAATATTTCACGAGCGAATATTATGATGATTTGTAGGAGCACTGAGGACTGTCGGAGAAAATGCCAGTGGAAACAGAGTTCCCCATGACATCTAAAGGATGAAGGTTAGCCGCTTCGTGCAGAACGACAGTGGTCACCAGTGGTGGGAGGGATGGGGAAGGAGAATGGGATGAACATGAGTTTGTCTTCAGAAGGATCAGCTGCAAGACATGGCTTTGACAGGAACGGGCTCCTACAACCTGAGTGATGCAGGAGGTCAAAAAAAAAGATGACTGTTGTGGTTCCTTCTGAATTTAAGATCTGTGAATCTATGAAAAGCTGCTAAACCTTTCCCTAGGATGGGGAAAGAAAAGTTTTCAGCTTCTTTCCTTCTTTAAGTTGCAAGAGTCCAAGGCTGAAGTTTTCAGAAGTAGCCACTCATTCTAGGTGCCCCAGCTCTTGGGCACCTAGCTTGAGCTGGCTGATGCCTGGTGTTCAAAACTATGTCCAGACAAGTCCAGCTGAAGACAAGAAGAGATGTGGAGGCCAGTGCAAAGTCAGGCCCAGATGGGACACTCAGGGATACCTCAAAGCAATGGGCATTCTGGAAAATGTTGGCGGTGTGTTTGGGGTGGAGGATGATGTGCTGGAAGACAGTGACAGGCTCTTCTCCATGCACCCCAATGGGACTGTTAAAGACTTGGACAGCTCTGGCCTCTGTTCTCGTGACACTTCCAGCACCACAGACTTTGATGACAATGCCTACACCTCCAGGCAAACTGGCACAGCCTCTAAGGTTTCCCCTGCCACCAGCACAGATCCCTGGATCTAGAAGAAAGAAATCTACCAGGCAGCCCTCCGTTTCTTATTTGCAAGATAAGGAATGATCCACACGTGAAAGACCATTTGGATTACAGGTATATTTAAAGTGAGATAGCTATTCCTGAATGGTGCCATCGGTGCAAACTCTTACTCTGAAGCGGAGTGTCTTATTCCTGTCCACTCTGAAAGTGCATTAAGGTGCTTCTCTCGCAGGTGCAGGCCCCAATCCCTGTATCTCCCCTCCCGGGACTCCCCTTCTCATGATAGTCCCAGCACCCTTGTGGAAGAGGGGGTGACCCATCAGCAGAAGAAGTCTTCCCAAATTGCAAGGCCCCTTTTTGCTAGGGTTGAGATATGGCTAACTACCTATCCCCTGGTTCTTCAAATGGCACCATGACATCTCCACCAAAATCATAAGGGGCTGGAGGTCTGCTTTTCTTTTCTCTTCCTCCCCTTCACTGCCTGCTCTGGGTCCCTCTACTTTCCCTCTCTCTCTCCTTCCAACTGCCCAGCTGCAACTTTTTCTTCTCCTCCCCACTTTTTTCTTAGCCAAGAATGTCTTTCTTTTTTTTTAATTCACTTTAAAAAAAAAAAACCAAACAGAAAATGCCTTGGTACCAAAAGTTGAAAAGTTTCATTTGAAAGCCTCGAAGCGACACATTACACTTAGGCCAGGCTAAGGGCACTTAAAATGTGAGCATCCCTTTGTTACAGCTTGTTAACTCATTCCTCTTCCCTTGACCTAGCCAGGAAGTACTTTGCTGGGCTCCTTCTGCCTCCCCAGAGAGGCACTGTTCCCCATAGCCACCCCTTTGACAGGGAAAGAAACTCTCTGTTGTCCTGGCCAGGCTGACAGCTGTATTACTCAATGGGTGTGAGGCCTTAATGGAGAGAAAGCCATGAGTCCTGATGGACTGGGAGACATAGGATACTGGGATACTGACCCCAGCGCTCTTTCCTGCCCAGGGCAGGGGGTCGGATTCGATGACCTACTGAGGTCCCTTCCCACCCTAATATTTATGAATCTATAGGCCTCCTGTTATTCGTGAAAACCTGCATTTGGCAAAATGTAAGAATATTCTCTCTCACCAGGATGTTGCTAAAATACTGAAGAATTAAAGCGAACTACAAAGTCAGTCTGATTTGCATGGGATGCTGCATGCCCACTCAATAGATCTTGAGTCTAGACTTTATTTTTTCTTCCTACAATTGGACGCAGGCACCAGCCACGAGTCTAAATAAATGAGGCACCTAAACCTCGTTATATTTGAATAATTTCTGAGAGGGGCTTCCCAGCCAGGAGCCATCACGTCCTCAGGCAGTACCTATGGGCACCATTCTCCGGGAGCCTGGGAAGTGCAGACAGTTTGCGCTATTTGGGTCACCGATCCAGGCGGCAGCTGTGGCTGTGCTGTGCCTGTCAGGGAGCCTGCAGTCATGGCTTTCGCCTCTGCAAAGGACTTGTGGAGTCTGCACGCTGCCGTGAGCAGCAGCCAGCTCCTTGCAGGGGGCCCTGCTCAACCAGCCTGACCTGCCATGGTTGGAGGTGTGTTAAGACTGACTTCCCGTCATGAGAGATGCCGGGATGCTGTTTGAGCCCAGCCAGGCGCACCTCCAATGCCAAGACAGAGATATGGCAGCAAGATGCACCGAGAACAGGTTGTCCCTGGCGAGTCCCCCCGCTCCAGGGACGTGACCCCCCGCTCCGAGAGTGGGGTGAGGACTTACGTCAGTGATCTTGGGGTTGGTGCATTTGCCCTTGGTCCCGGATAGCTCCAACCACTGGTTCTCCTGGGCAGGGCAGTGGTGCTTCAACGTGCACTGGTTCGGCCCCTCGCACCAGCCGCACTCGAAGTCCGGGTCGGCTTTCAGGCACAGGCCGCAGCTGTTGCGCATGGCCCCGCACTTGTACAGATGCACTGTGGGACAGCAAAGGAGAGAGATCCTGAGGGGTGCAGGCACCGAGGGGGAGCCCGGGGGCAGGTCTGTGGGGTGTAATAAGGAGCAACGTGTGGAAAGTGACCCCAGGGGGAAGCAGGCTGAACAAGGAATTCAAGTGCTGTGCCTTGTGGTTGTGTGATAGGGTTAACTGCACAGCTTTAGTAAGAGGTTAGACATGTATTTGTATGGGATGGTTTGGCTAGCGCTGATCCTGCCGTAGGCAGGGGGTGGGACACGGTGACCTCTGGAGGTCTCTTCCAGCCTCCCCCTCCCTCCTCTGCCCCAGGAAATCCAAAGGTTTTGGGGACTGAGTTACTCCCAAAGTCCATCTCTAACAGAGAAGCAAAGGATTACTGCCCAGCTCAGAGTCTTGGTATAATTTGGCCCCTTTTTGAGGTGCCAAAGTCCTTTCTGAATAATAATTATCTCATCTTCCCACCTTCCACTGTTGTTATTAATTAACATCAATAATTAATAACTCGTCTACAGGACAAGGTGAAGCTGCTTGTCCTCGTGTTACAGGTAGGGAAACTGAGGCAGAAACTGCAAAGGAAGTCATTAGCAGGGTGCTTTTCCCGGAGACCCAAGAGAGAAGCATCTTTGTGCTGCTCTCAGTCCTTTTTCCAGCTACTGATGGGGCAGGTGCTTTTCTGCGTGCGATGGGGAAACTTCCCTCCACGCTTTTCTTGCGCTGTCAGGAACTGGCTGCTGTCTCTTCACTGGGGGGTGGGTTATATATAAGGTCCAAAGACTCATCAGTATTGAAACTTTCTGCTGAAAAGCTCTAGAAATCACGCAGTGCCTGAGGCCACGTTCCCCCCCTCGCCCCCGAAGGCAGCAAGCACCGGCCCATGCAATGAAAATGCTGCTGAGCTTTTCATTCCTCGAAGCTGGCTGCCAGAAAGGCCAAGTTAGTCAATCATGGTATGCCAGTACCGGACCCCCTCCTGACCTGCTTTTCCTGGTAAAAGTTGCATTCCCAAGCACATGCCTCCTGACACGCTCCCATCATGGGCAGTGCTGCATAGGCCTGGGTGTCCCTTGGCTATATTTTACTGCATTTCAGTGGTGCTGACCGAAATACTGGCTGGGCATATCTACACGAGACATGTACTGTGGATCTGACTAATCAGCTCTGCAGTAAAGTCTCAGTGTCGATGTGTGTGCCCCTACTAGGATGGAGTAAATGAATCTACTGCACCGCAGGACAGTCCTAGTATATACAAGTACTGTCTTATGGTCGAGTACTTGACTCCATCGCAGCACATGTTTAGACGGTGACAGGGCTGGCTGGGCACAAGTGCTTCGGTGCAGGGGCTGCCTGCTGTCTAGCCCCACCCTGGAGCACCCTTGGGGCCCAGCCAGCCCCTCCGCAGCACACTGAGCTGGGCTGAAGTGGCCCCGTGACCGCCGGGGCTGCTCCAACCCAGCTCAATGTGCTGCGGTCCCAGGCACATGTGTAAACATGGTGCCCGGGAGCAATAAACTCCAGAACAATATGTGCTGGAGTTTATCGCTATGTGCATATTACACGTGTAGACACACCTATCGTTGCCTCTTCTCAGTTACGGAGCAGAGGGACAGGGCTAGGAGGGGACAGGGCAGACCAGACCTCAGGAGGACAAGGTTTTCATCCTCCCTCTGAGCATCTCTGTCGACATGGCCCAAAACCCCCGCTCTGTTTCCACCATGGTGTCTGTCTTATTGGACTGTAAGTTCTTGGGCATGGTGGCAGTCTCTTCGGTGCTCTTGTCCATGCAGGCCCCAGTCTCAGCTGGGCTAGCTCAATCCCAGCAGCACAGAAAAGACAAGAGATGCACAAGTGGTTAGCTGTGCAGGGAGCCTGGCTCGGCTTGTCTTCTATGCAATAGCAAACCCTTCGCCAGGCATTGCAACCTCTGCATGCACCCATCATTTATGGACCTCTTCCCAGCAGAGACCATGAGAGACACTGAATACCAGGCAGTTGGATATGGGGACCCCCAACCTCAATTGGGAAGGGGCCAAGAGAATCACATCCACCATGTCTGGTGACTTCAGCCAAGGTCTGCTTTCCTGTGTCCAGAGGTAGAAAGGCCATTTCTCAGGGATGGGACGGTATCACTGAGTGTCTTGTTCACAAAAGTGTCTGTGCTGCATCTGCATCTGCACTTGCCGGAGTCGCTGTCAGCCTGCCTACCAGCCTCTGCTGTCCTGATCTGAACTTCTCAGATAATCTATCGGAGCAGAGCTAACAAACACGTCCGCTCCTTCTCATAAAGCAGTTGTTCCCTGGACCGTGCTCAATGCTGCAGGGACCTGGCTCACAGCCTCAGTAAGGACTGATCTGGAGCAAGTCCTGCCATTCTCTGCAGTGGACAAACACGGTCCAAGGCTAAGAGCCGGTGGGCACAGGAAGCACCTTCACCCTAGCTGATCGGACGAGCTAGGTCTCCCCACTGTGAAAATGGCACTGAAAGCTTGGTCATTAATATGCCACTGATGGAAAATCTCTTTGATGCCTTCTACATCATTAGCAGCTGTCCGGGCCCATCACATTTCAGGCCATTGGCTTGCAGAATACAACAAATTAAAGGGAAGGAGTGGCTAGTTTAGCATCGGTAACAGGCTTTCAGCTCCACAATGAGTATTGTAACATGGTCCTGGTCCGCGGTCAGCAATGACTACTACCTGACCATTGCTTGAGGGCCAACAGCTCAGGAGGGAGAGGACAATGCATGTCATGAGCATGGGGGATCACAGCAGAGTGGGTAAGGTGTTTTGCTATGAACCTTAAGGTGTGAGTTTGAGCCTTGCTCCACGGTGATGCCAAAGGCCACCCCAATTGACAAGCATATAAATGGTACCTGGCCATTTGTCACCTGTCACTAACTTAGGATCGTCTGCCACGTCCCTGGCAGCAGGCAGGAGACGGACATGTATGGGATCCAGTGGAAGAACAGAGGACACAGAGGAGGAGAGGCAGGAGGGGAAGGGGCAGGAGAGACAGGCTGTCTTCTGGTGGTCTCCTTCAGTGGGGAGGGTCCCTCACCCAGAGGATGGCAAAGGACAGCTGGGGAGATGACAAGGAGTGCAGGGTGAGGAAGTAGCAAGAAAGGGGCGGGCGGCATAAGGTGGGGAAGGAAGCAGGTGTAGGGGGTGGCAGGAAAACCATTGATGCTATGACCCCTAAATGTTGAGAGAGGAGAGGGAGTCCAGGGAAGGGCCCGTGGGTAATTGAGGGCAAGGGGCAGGATGCAAGGACCAGATAGCAAAGGGGAGGGAAATCAGGCTCCCCTGCAACCACCTGTCCTTGGGTTGTGGCTGAATGAGTGACAGCCCCCTCGCCACCCACTGTAATCAAGTAAAGCCGGGCTCTCCAGGCAGAAGGTGGGTCTCATCCTTTTCCATTATCACTTCACTTCGTTCCACCTTTCCCCACTGGCACGGCTGCCCCCACCCTCCCTCCCTCCCGGCTCATTACTGCATCCAGCCTGGGCACAGACCGGACTAGCTGCAGCTGCTGATGCATTAACTGGAAGAGTCTTGTGGAAGGAGAAGTGAAGAGGGTAGTGGGGAGAAGGGCGGTGCGAGAGAAAGGAGGCAGGAGGGATGCAGGCAGAGTGTGGGGAAGGAGAGGACGGGGAGGCTCCAATTTCTCAGGTGCTCGGGGTAGTGCGGGGGGGGAAGCCCGGAGCACGCAAATTAGTAATTTAAGGAGAGAGGAGAACAAATGTGTGCAGGGAAACGGTGGCTGCTTTGTTCAGCGTGCGGCACGATGTGGCCTGTTGCTAAGGTTACTGCTTCCAAGGACAAGTTGAAATAATTCTTTACCTTTGTTCTGCGCCGGGTTGTCAATGTTGAAATTCCCATTCCACACGACCGTCAGCTCTACCGGCAGGCTGTTAATCTCCATCCCTTCGTATGAATACTAAAAACGGGAGAGCAAAAAAAAAAAACAAAACACCATCACGCCGGGTGCCGCGGCAGGGGAAGCTGCGAGCTGAGCGGGACTGTCGCTGCCCTGCCGGGACTCAGGCGGCTGCGCTCCCCGTGGGATGGATACCGGCCAGTCTCAATGGAAGGCACTTCCGTCCCTCTCGCAATGTCTCGAGGCTTTCGGGTGCTAACTCTTATGTTAATCCTGGTCTGGCTCCCTGGTTTTGGATACGTCTCAGAGGTGCCTGTTCCAGATTGTGGGGTTTATTGTCTAGATTTGGGTGCATTTTTGACCTGTTAGATTTAGGATGGGGTGATCTAGTTGGGGCTGGTCCTGCTTTGAGCAGGGGGTTGGACGAGATGTGACCTCCTGAGCTCCCTTCCAGCCCTCATTTTCTGTGTCTAGTTCAGTGATTCTCAACCAAGGTGCCCAACCCTGGGGTGCCCATGAGATCCTTTTATAGGTGCCATGGGGTGCTGCGCAATATTAGCACTGATAGCTGTGCAGATACCTACACTTATTCACAAGATCAACCCAGAGGTTTCAAATAGAAACCCAGAGTGTCAAAACCTTTCTACCCTGTGGAGGTCTTTCTGAGTTTTCTGCAACAGAAAAAGTGCTCTAACTATTTTTTTTGTCATCAAAAAATTAGTGAACATTAAGAGCTGGCGTTTTGGGGGGTACCTTGAGACTAATGATGTTGAGAACCACTGGTCTAGCTGTTGGGTCTACCTTTCTGTTGCTGGCTGTGTTTCTGGGGTGTCCTTTCCAAAGGTTAGCTATCTCTCTAAAAGGTACCTTGAAGGTACTGGCTGTATTTCTAGGTGTTATCTATATTACAACTCATGGGTGAGATCCTAGAGGACTTAGGAAAAGTACCTGGATCTATGTGTCTACCTATTTATATGCAGGGGGAAAAGGCAGGGCCAGGGAAATACAGACCAGCCAGCCTGACTTCCAGTTCTCAAACGATACTAGATCAAAATATTAAATAATGAATTTATAAGCACCTGGAGGACATTAAGGTGATAACAAAGACAATGTGAATTTGTCAAAAACAAATTGTGTCAAACCAATATAATTTCCCTCCCTGACAGGACAAAACAACCCTTTGGATAAGGGGAAATTCTGTATCGTGACTTTAGGAAGGATTTTGACATTGTCCCACTTGACATATGCAAACTAGGGAAATGTGGTTCAGATGAAATCACTATGTGATGAGTGCACACGTGATAGGAAAACAACTCTCAGAGCAGCCATCAATTGTTCCCTACCAAACCAGAGGGGCACATTTAGCGGGTTCTGCGCTAGGTTTGGTACTATTCACTATTTTCATTAATGGCTTGGATGATAGAAGAGAGACAGCATTTATCAAATCTACAGATGACATCAAGCTGAGAGGACAGCAAGCACTTTGGAGGACATAATTTGAATTCAGATCGATCTCCATAAATTTGGGGAAATGGTCCAAAATCAACACGAAGAATTGTAATGCAGTAAAGTATTACACATAGGAAAGAGAAATGTAATGCAGACATGCAAAATGGCGAATAGCTGCCTAGGGCAGCCATACAGCAGTATAAGATCTGAGGGGTTATAGTCGATCTCAAACTCAATATAAGTCAACAGCATGTTGCAGAAAAGGCAAATTGCCTTAACAGGAGCTCTGTATGGAACGTGAGTGGTAGTTACACTGCTTGACTCAGCAACGTAAGCCTCAGCTAGAGTACCACATCCAACACTGGGGCCCGTGTTTCAAGAAAGACGTAGACAAATTGGAGAGAGTCCAGAGAAGAGCAACAATGAGAGCAGCTTTGGAAAACATCACTTCTGAAGAACAGTTGAAGGGAATGGCTTTGTTTAGTCTAGGTGAGAAGAGTAGGGGGAGACATGATGACCGCCTTGCAATATGTAAAAGGCTGCTATAAACAGGATAGTGATCAATTATTCCCTGGAGCACTGAGGTTGGGACAAGAAGAAATCAGTGCAATGCATGGCAAAGAATATGATGAAGCTGTTAGGAAAGATCTTCTCACTATAAGGATAGTAAAGCATTTGAATGGGCTACTTAGGCAGGTTGTGGCATCTCCTTCATTGGTGGTAGTGAAGGGCAGGTTACATGAATGTCCATCAGGGACTGTCTAGTTATACTTGATCTTGCTTCATTGTAGAGGGTAGACTAAGTCTTTTGTGGTCCCTTTGAGCCCTGAATTCCTGTGATTCTATAATACATGGGGCTTGGTGTGCATTTTCAGCCAGATTTTCAAGTGAACACAGGATGTCCATATCGGATTGGAGCAATGGTCCACCAGATTGTGCATCCTACTTTTAGCCATGATCTCCAGCCTGACTTTGCAGAGAAAGTCTAAAACACGCATTATGTAAATCACCACTTGTATAATGGCAGGGGAAATGGCCCAGCTGCTGATGTGACAGTAAGTGTGAGCACCGGGCGGGAAGGACTGTGGATTTTCCCATTCTCTTGGCTTATCACATTCAGTGTCACTGTGTTTATTGCTTTTGATTGTGCAAGGCACCTGCAATTCAGCAGTAATGGGGCCATGCCCATCTAGTCACTCATTCCTTTATTCCCATAGCACTGTAGGCAACTCAGCAGTGACAGAGCATTGCAAGGCAATGCAGTGATGCTACCCTGTCATGTCCAAATGCGTTTCATCACGCAGTACAGCAAGTTGCCCCAGGAATGTTTTGTGTCCTGCTTGCCAAACTTATAGGACTCCGAATCATCCTGAAATCAGCATAATCGGGGAGGAGGTGGGGGTGGAAATACAAAACCCTCACATCAGCAAGACAAAAATTATTCCCACACAGCACTATACCCATTAGGAACTAATTCCTATAATTACCGTGGGGTCAGGAAGAACAGACTAACTACCCATCTCCCAGTTTACTGCCTTTACACTGCAGCCCACTATGTCATCTCACTGACATCTTTATGTCCACTCCAAAGAGTCGGGAAAACGTAAAAATTGTATATGCTGCTGGTCCTATCAGTGCAATGCAACCACTTTGGGGGATGAAAGGGGGCAGCCTGCAATGACATTAAAAGGCAAATCTGGTGACAATGTGAAATGTACTGGAAGGGGTGTTTTAATCAAGCGGGATGCAAGGATGCAACTGGAACCTTGCAAGCTATCAAGCCTCTCAAGGCATCATGGCTAATGCTCCTGGGAAAAGGGTCGGAGGGCTTTAATGGGTGTGAGTGGTGAGGACATAGTATCCAAAAACAAGACCTCAATGCCCACTGCACTTGGTGCTTGGTCATTGGTTTGACACTTACAGACCAATGGCTATTGAGTGACCACAGCCAAAACGTGGCATTTCCGGGCACTGTCACCCACCCAACTAGATGCAGCTCTAAATGATCGAAGAGAAGAAAGCAGGTCCTAGCCCAAAGCCCTAACCTGCTCCTGAATCTCTATGCTGCTGGCCCTGGGGCTCTGTACACCATTGCCCTGTTAGGGACCAGCCTGGCATTGTGCCCTCCTGTGCTGGCAGTGGCTGGTGCGCACATGCTCTTGGCTGGGTGCTGAAGGAAACTTTTGCTGTCTCGGTGGGAGCACCTGCTAGTCACACTGGGGCAAATTGCAGCTTCTAACTACACTGGCCTTGGAGTTTGCTTGTATGAGCACAAGCTGCTTTCAGGCCTGAGGAAACAACAAACTCATCTGAACCTGCAGCCAAACTCAACTAGCAGCCTTTCCTGAGGTTTAAAGAGCATCCCTCCTTTCCCCCCCTCCTCACTTCATCATCTCATGCTGCTGTTTGTAGTTCCTGCCCCAGGACAAGATATGAGACAGAAATGATGTGATACCAAGTGAAAGGGGCAGGGGCTTCTTGGAGATGAATCACAGGAGCCTTAACCAAGTTTTGCTCCCTCCTCCCTCAAACTCCCACTTGAAAGTCAATGGGTGCTCAGCTGAGTTGAGACTGAATGCAAAGGCAGTAAAGACCCTGGGATTTGGTCCTGGCTAAACCAGGGGCGAGCTGGAAACCCCCCAAGGATGCCTGTGGACATGACATGCCCAGCCTGCTTTCTAGACTCACTGGGAATGCCAGGGCTCTGAACCTGTGCAGGTATGTTCTCTCGTCACTACTAATTGCCATGCAATTGCAGAGTAAAACATATCCAGTGATTTCTGCCCATTACGGTGGAGTGAGTGCTAGTTATATGGTAATTTCATTCTGAGCAAACTAAACACAATTAACCAGGAATCTGCAGGCCTCTGTGATTATAATCGAGTTGCAGGGTATTTATGGGTAAGGACTGTGTGGTTACCATGGAAGTTAAAAGCACTCACAGGACAGCGGCACCCTGCCCATGTAGCCGCTGTCATCAAACTCAGTAATAGCATCTGTAGTACACTTCTCTGTGTCATTTGGAGTAAGACCCACCACACTGATTTCCCATTGCCCATGCTTTCTTCCATAGGAAAGGTCCAGAGGACAGAGCAGGGGCACGTCTTTGCAGACAGGCTCGCTTAACCCAATGAGGAAGGCCTTAAACTAGATTTGCAAGGGGATGGAGACCAAAGCCCTGTGGTAAGTGTGGAAGCAGGTGACCTGAAAGAAGCAGAAG